GCAGTCTTTTTTATGATCCTGCCTCCCGTCTCCTAACCTCCCTCTCAAACCTTCACTCCTCTATTTGTGTAGGTTTATCTACAAGCATTCATTTGTATGTATGTATGTGTATATAGAGAGAAAGAGAGAGATTTATATATATATATATATATATATATATATATATATATATATATATATATATATATATATATTATAAGTATGTGTATGTTTATTTATATATATATATATATATATATATATATATATATATATATATATATATATATATATATATATATATATACATATATGTATATATATACATATATATATATATGTATGATATATGTATATATATATATATTTTTTTTAAAGCCATTCATTCCACTGCAGGACATAGGCCTCTCTCAGTTCACTACTGAGAGGTTATATGGCAGTTTCACCTTTGCTTGATTGGATGCCCTTCCTAATCAACCACTGTTCGGTGCGCTAACACCTGTGCCACGGCGGCGACTTCCCCTACGACACCTGCGCTTGACTTCTGAAGGCTATATGTCGTTTTCTCGGGCTCGAGCAAGCAGTCAGAGCGCATGCATTTTTACGACCGCCGCGGCAGGGAAATGAGTCTCTAACCACTGGACCAGGCAGCAGTCATAAATATATATATATATATATATATATATATATATATATATATATATATATATATATATATATATAATGTCAGAAGATGGATCAGCCTAGCAGCAGGGGTAATGAACTCTTCCGACAAGAGAATTTGGAGATGCCGGTACCTTTGCAGAAAGGACCAAGTTATGTGTCATCTAGGCCCTGATACTACTAGTTTTATTTTATGGTAGTGAAACCTGGACGCCATCTAGTGCCTTGGAGTCTCGTATTGATGCCTTTTATAACAGGATCACGTGTCCAACCAACGGTTACACTATGAGACTGGCACAGGACCCGTTACTTACACAAACCGGGACCGCCACCTCAGGCTATACGGGCGCCAGGGTCGCTTCACACAGGATAATCCTGCCCACCAGTTTGTCTGTGTTCGAGACAACCCCGGGTGGAAGATGTCTGTGGGACGACCTAGGAAGTCGTCATGGGCAGATTGATCAGACCTGTCATGAGGAGCTAGAGATGGACCGGGCCCCTCGTAGATGGAAACGAAAGGTGGACGGGGTTGTGCGCCTCCGTCGGCAGTAGCTCCCCGATGATATATATGTATGTGTGTGTGTGTGTGTGGTAATATTTATATCTGTCCCCCTTATCTCATGCCTGTTGCTATCGTGGGGTAGCCTAAGAGAATGGGACTGAAGCCCAACATTGGGGATCGCCTCTATCCTGGGCCCTGGGTCAACCAATTCTGCATGGTCTTTTTTACTTCCTCTTTCCTTTTCCTTCTCTTCTCTAGTCTCTTCTACCGTCAATTTCCTAAGGATGAAAGGCTGGCCTTGTGTCAGGTCTGAACGGCCTTAGGGAACTGTGGGCACGGTATTACCTTGGTTAATCGTCTAACCCTTACCCCTCATTGGGACCCTGATGGGTAGACCGTTTCTCTTGCCCACATATTACAAGCTAACCGCGGCCAATAATGAAAAAATTGTACCCATAGTAGGGGCACTGAGGCATGCCCCTATGTACACAAGCCTATCTGAAATTGACCTCTGGTTTCGCAACCCTTGCCTCGCCTTTGATCACGGCTCCGATCATTGCTTCTACCCCTTCTCAATGGTTGCTGTCAACTTTATCTCTTCCGAAGCATTACTCAACATTCAGAATACATCCCTTCTTCTCTCTCAACATCCTCCAATTATTTTCCTTCTCCTGCACAGTCTTCTTTATTTTCGGTCCCCTCCTCTCTTATTACTACTCTACATCCTTACTGTCCTTCTCCCCGCAATGCTACCCCACTCCACAGCACTCTCTCTTCCTCCTGTCCTCGCTATTCTACTTCCACCTCCACAAACCTTTTGAGTGCTCTTTTTTATCCGAGCCAAGTGGAATCGATTCTTTGTAATTCACCCTACAGCTCATTACGATACCCTCCTCTTCCAGCATTGTCTCCATAAACAAGTATGCAGATTTCCCTTCCGCAGCCGTTCCCATCGCTCATGCCTTGTAATAGTTACATCTGAGTCCCAGGCTCGTCATTATCTACTCTGACTGACTTCACTGGCAAGCCTATTCCTACCCAGCCTCACGTCTCCTTTAACTTAATACTTGTACTGGAACTGTTTCCATTTTCCCGGTTGATTACCCTGTATATAGCTAGGATTGGTCTGGGTGAAAACGACCTGCTTAACTCTGATACAGTGTCAATATGGTGATGCGCTATTCTTTCCATAGGCCAACGTAAATCCTACATCAATATTGCCAGGATTCCTTCTATAGACATGTCCTTCCTCATGAAGTTATATGGGCGGAGAGTCCTACCTTGTCCGACCACACCGTCAATGTAAAAAATATTTTTACATTGACGTTTCTGTTTAAATTGCTCTGTACTATCACGTACGTGTTCCAGTTGTGATGGCTCCCATAATGTATTTCATAGGAGCTGCCCTGCCTACAAGATCGAGTCTGAGGTTCTCAGATTCAAACTTGGCTTCACTTTACACGGTGCCAGGCAAGAAACATGGTGACGAGGTTTTTCTCTCGATATCTATTTCAACGCTGTCCTTCGCTCTACTCCTCTACCTCCTCCCCAAGATGTCTCAGAATCTGCCCCATTATCTCTTCCTCCTATCCCTTACCATTCTACCTCAACCCCCACTGTTTCCCAAGCAGATTCCTTTGTTTATTCTAAATCCAATACTCCAATATTACTTCTCCGGTGCCTACCCCCCCTCCTCACTTTACCTGTCGCAGGCAGTCTAATCGTTCCACCTCATCTTCTATCACATTCTCTCCTCTGTTCCTCGGACAACCGTTTCCTCTTTTCCTCCTCACAAGAAAACTTTCGTTTCTCAGACCTCTCCAAACAACGTCCTTCAGAAACTCTTGAGAACATCCAGAACTGCGTAAGCATGACCCAAGAGATTGCTCCTCAGAGTTAACAGCCCTGATGCAAGGACTATATAAGTATATTTTTACACTTAATGCTTGATATTCCCACCGAGTCAGTAGTTTTTCCCAAGAGAAAGAGAGGGCAACGGTTGGTGTACATGAGGGAATATGATTTTTTTCTTGCCATCTTTAGCAAGTGTATTTCGATAGATCAGTATTACCACATTACAAAGTAACTCAAAATGGTCATGGTTGCTATGAAGCTTATTCGTGAATATTCGTCTATTTTCCTTTATACTACAGTCATTATTCCGATGAACATAGAATAAATACTGCTGTAGTTGTTAAACAATTTCGGTAACTTAATTTTCCTCAGAGCTGTACTATATTATTTTCGAAATGGGTACGTAGTCTGCAACAGAAGTATTATAATAAAATAAAAGTGACTTTCTTTGTGGAACATTTGGTCAGTGAATTTTTAAAAATGCAAATTGCAAGAGCTGAAAGTGACAAAACTACTATACTTTAAACAAAAAGTAATTTCTGCATAAATGAATGTTGTAAATGAAAATTTTTGTTGTTGAGTGCAGAAGCCCCCCCCCCTCACGACCCTTTCTGTCTCTCTATCTATCTGTCAATCTCTCTCTCTCTCTCTCTCTCTCTCTCTCTCTCTCTCTCTCTCTCTCTCTCTCTCTCTCTCTCTCTCTCTCTCTCTCTCTCTCTCTCTCTTTCTCTCTCTCTCTGTCTCTCTCTCTCTCTCTCTCTCTCTCTCTCTCTCTCTCTCTCTCTCTCTCTCTCTCTCTCTCTCTCTCTCTCTCTCTCTCTCTCTCTCTCTCTCTCTCTCTTTCTCTCTCTGTCTCTCTCTATCTACCTATCTATCTATGCCTCGCTCTATTCACTATCGAAATGGTCTACAAGACTTAACTGAAAGTCAATGCTGACGCGTTACATAAAATCACGCAGTATAACATCAACGACGCGCATTTAAAGTTTATTTTGTCTTTCGATAACACTCGAAATTATTATCATCTTCCATTAAGTCGTGATGATAAGTAGGTTTCCACTCGCAGGGACTGAACTTGTCAATTCCTTAACCCTAAGTTCTTTTTTTAAGAGGATCTTCTCAACATATATCGTCTATGTTAACTTCAGGCCAAGAAAAAGATCAACAGTATTAACGTGTCGTTTTTTTTTTTTTTTTTAACCTTTATCTCTTTTGTAGCACTTTGGCTTCATATTACAAAAATCGATGTATTTTTTTCATGTTCAGATAATACCTACTAATCTTAGTAGACTGTAAAGTCACTTAAATTACCGGTTGTCATGTTACCTTCTGGAAAATGTGGAGAGAGAGAGGGAGAGAGAGAGAGAGAGAGAGAGAGAGAGAGAGAGAGAGAGAGAGAGAGAGAGAGAGAGAGAGAGAGAGAGAGAGAGAGAGAGAGAGAGAGAGAGAGAGAGGAGAGAGGGGGGAGAGGTGAAAGAGAGAGAGAGAGAGAGAGAGAGAGAGAGAGGGGGGGGAGGTGAAAGAGACAGAGAGAGAGAGAGGGAGAGAGAGAGAGAGAGAGAGAGAGAGAGAGAGAGAGAGGGGGGGGGGGAGGTGAAATAGAGAGAGAGAGAGGGGGGGGGGAGAGGTGAAAGAGACAGAGACAGAGACAGAGAGAGAGAGAGAGAGAGAGAGAGAGAGGGGGGAGTTGAAAGAGAGAGAGAGGAGAGAGAGAGAGGGGGGGAGGTGGAAAGAGGAGAGAGAGAGAGAGGGGAGGTGAAAGAGGACAGAGAGAGAGAGAGAGAGAGAGAGAGAGAGAGAGAGAGGAGAGAGAGAGAGAGAGAGAGAGAGAGAGAGAGAGAGAGAGGGGGGGGGGGGGGAGGTGAAGAGAGAGAGAGAGAGGGGGGGGGGAGGTGAAAGAGACAGAGACAGAGACAGAGAGAGAGAGAGAGGGGGGGTAGTTGAAAGAGAGAGAGAGAGAGGGGGGGGGGGGAGGTGAAAGAGACAGAGGCAGAGAGAGAGA